TTTTCCCCACAAATTCTTCCAACAGTTTGTGGTTGAAGGTAGTAAATCCCTAATCTTGGGCCAATTATCCTATCATGTATTGTCAAAGAGCCATGAGAGAAATCATAGTTGACTTACAACCACTTTCTATAGCTAGAGAAACAGCTTTGTGATAGGCCTGACTGAGGTTGGGCCATTCTAGAACCAAAGTTATATAGAGCAGGTCTGGGCACTGATCATTAGAGAGTTAGGCTCAGGGCTTTTGTGGATTTTTGGTGTCCAATAGGACCATGAAGTTCAAATCATTTGGAGAAGGGTCTTAAAAGGGAACTATTAACATAATGACAATCTCTTATATAATGTATTACGTCTAAACACCTTTTGTATATAGTTTTAATTTGATTAATTAACTAAAAATTTATTGAGTACCTTCTTTATCTATAGCATTGATCTTTCATTGTAGGCAGGAACTACAAGGAAGTATACTGTAGTCTCTGCCATGAAGAACAGTGTAAGTTGGCAGATGGGAAATGAGTAGAAATCACAGATTAGTAAATGTAAAGTTTACTACTTTAACACAGTAACTGCCATGTGAGTTGTATTTAACTCACACTAGTTATGAGCCCAGGGCCTTGTGAAGCATATGTAACTCACACATCTCTTTACCTTGGGAGCTGCGTGGTGTGCGGGCAACTCATGCTGCCATGCCATAGCATACACGTTATGTGATGGGTGGCCCCCTGGGCAAGACCCTGCAGTTGGTTTGTGAAAATCTTACTTGTTGATGTTCTTATTGTTACTATTAATATTGACAATTGCATATAATCCATGCACAGAAAACAATAAAAAATAACATATTTTTCATTAAATTAGAAAGGATAGTTTTGTTTTTGAAATTTTTGTTCTATTTTTGCAATAAAACACCATGGCCCTAAGGAGAAATTCTTTTTTCTAGTGTGGCAGTCAATGTGTTAAAAAGTAAAATTAAAACTGAATAGTTTGGTCCTGAGTTGAGTCGCATAAGACTGATTAGTTTAATAAGAGATACCTTGTTACTAGTAACAGCCAAAGGATCTGAGGAGTAAGCTCACTGTGGGCCACAGGGAGTGATTAGGAAAAAATGATGGAGGAAGTAGAACCTGAGGTAAGAAATAGGCTCCTAAGGCAGGGCATGGTGGCTCAAACTCATAATCCTAGCGCTTTGGGAGTCTGAGAAAGGATGATGGCTTGAGCCCAGGGGTTTGAGGCTACAGTGAACTATGATTGCACCACTGCACCCTAGCCTAGGCAGCAGAGTGAGACCTTGTTTCTTAAAAAATTTTAAAAAATAAAAAAGGCTCCTAGAAGAACAGGTGGCATTTGGTTGGCCAAAGTGAATAGGGACTGTGCATTCAAAGTGAAGGTAAAACTAATCAGAAGATTACAAAACAAGGAAAAATGAGGTTTAAAAGGATTAAGAGGGCTTCAGAGTTGGGATTCAGAGGTACTATTTCTCCACTGAATGGAACAGAAGAGATTGGTGCACACCTGCTGGAAATAGACTGTATTGTCTTCAGGAGAGTTTTTCTGTCCTGATAGAGACTTCAGAGCAATTGTTTCTTAGTTACATCATGTGCATTGGAGTCTTCACACTTATCTTTTAGAGATATTAGTGACCCATCTGGTGATCTTGTACCTCTATTATAAAACAGAAATACTATACATTTGCTATGAATGTGGTGAATGCTGTGAGGAGAAAAATAGATTCTAGAAGATCAGATTGATCATAGCAGAATCAGCATTTGACAAGCTTCTCATTCAGTAATGCAATAGGAGTGGCAATAGTGATGCTGAAATGCAGAAAAACATCTAGTGCCACAAAGGGTAGTTAAAATGGCAATAGAGTATGCCAATGTTACCATCATCATCCTTGTCTGCCTACTAAGTAATAGAAAGGAATATTAGATAAATATTTCTAAAAGAGGTACATTTTCTGTTAAGAAGTTTCATTGAAACCACATTCGAGTTATCAGTTGAGTAAACAATATTTTTCAAAGGAAAATCAAAATTATTTTTTGTTATAGTAAATTCTAAACAGGAGTAATTTGAAAGTTTCATTTTGCTTTTTAACAAAGTAGGCTATTCAGTTTGCTTTAAATAGTCTTCAGTGTGCCATAGAAATGAAAGGTGAAGTTCTTTTTTTTTTTTTTTTTAGTTGCTGTGGTTGGTTTAGTTGTTCTGATCCTACAGAAAATTATCAGCTCAATGGACTTCAAACTTCATCCCTAGTCTTTGAAGCAGTCATTAGGAGTTCTAAATATCACACAAAGAAAGCATAAGAGATTATTGATCAAAGTTAGGGCAGGCTTATGAAATAAAAGCACTGAAGTAGAATTGCTATTTTTTGGCTATATGGGTTTGAAAATATTTAAAGTATTTATTATATTCTGCTATCTGGGTAGCACATTATTCAGAGTATGTTGATATTGCTTAAAAAGTGGAACACTACATCATGGAAGTCAACATTAAAGTAGTATTTCTCTCTTTCGAACTAGAGCAGAGGTCCCCAGAGTTTTTCTGTAAAGGGACAAATAGTAAATGTTTTAGGCTTGGAGTCATAGTAGTTTCTGTTGCAACTACTCATCTCTTCCATTGTAGCTCAAAAGCAGCCATACACAATAGGTAAATAAATGAGTGCAGCTGTGTTCCAGTAAAACTTTAAAACAAGTAGCAATCCAGTTTGGCTCTTGGACCTTAGTTTGTCAACCCTTATTCTAGAGAAGTTAATGTCTATGCTACTTTTTATTATTATTTTTATTTTTTTGTGAGACATGGTCTCACTCTGTTGCCCAACCTGGAGTGCAGTGGCATCATCATAGCTCACTGCAACCTCAAACTCCTGGACTCAAGCAATCCTCCTGCCTCAGCCTCCCATGTAGCTAGGACTACAGGTACATGCCCCCACGTGCAGCTCATTTTTCTATTTTTTGCAGAGACAGGGTCTTGCTATGCTGCCCAGGCTGGTCTCAAATCCCTGATCTCAAGTGATCCTCCTGCCTTGGCCTCCCAAAGCACTGGGATTACAGGCATGAGTTACTGGGCCCGGTCTATGCTACTTTTTTTTTTTTTTTTAAAGCAGGAAATACTAGTATCATTAGTTATCTTTTAGTATTTTATCTTCTCTTTTAAATTGCAAGTTCTTTGGAAACAGGGACTACATCTTTTACTTCTTTGTCTCCCCCGTATCATTTAGTACAATGTCTTACACCAGGCAAACTGTAATAAATGTATCTGTTGTCCCTTTGAGTCCACTCTGATGATAATGGTCCATTTGTGGACCATTTTATCGTTTAGTAAGTACTTTGACGTAGGTTTCTTGTCTGGTTCTCACAAAGGCCTCAGAAGAAGAAAGAGTAGTGTGCTTACCCATTCTATAGACCATGTAGCTAAAGCTTAGGAAGGTTAAGTGAATTCCCCAAGTTTATATAGTCTAGTAAATGGCAAAGCAAAGATTTGGGTCTGCTTTCTATTGTGGTAATGAACTGTGATCTTTAACTTTCTAAAAATAGAAGATGCTCATTTTTGAGTCTGTCTTTTGCTCCAACTGTTGAATATCCTGCAGTGTTCTTTTCATTTTAGAATCTTAGCTAAATTTTCTATTGAGTTTTAAATACTCAGTTTAAGATTTAGCATTCAAATATTCCTACTCTTTTGGCACAGAAAAGAGTCATTTCTGTTCTCTGTTCTCAGGAGACAGATCTGAGGTATACAGAATTAGAAATAGATTTTTTTTTTTAAAGCTTATAGATAAAATTATCCCATTCTTTCAGTTTCTTGGAGAAGAACCTGGTCTTTCATGGTCTCTGAGCCCTCAAAATGTTAGTGTGTAAACCTTTTGCTTTGGCTACAGTGGACTTATGTATCTATACTTAACATGCTCTGTGTTCTCTTTGCTGAGAATACTTTATTCTTACTACAGAAGTGAATTTTATCTTTTAAAACCCTGCCAGTGGTAGTTACATAAGTAACTAGTAGATGTATACATAGTAATGTATACATTAAGTAAAAATTTATTAAGCTGTATAATTTTTGATTTGTATGCTTCATATAAAATAAAGCTATACCTCAATTTTTAAAATTAACTATGAAAAAAAGCCCAATTTTTACCTCTTTCTCCAAAGGCTTCCCCCATCTCTCCAGCTCACTGCTTTTCTCACTTAAACGTAGTTTTGTAAAAAAGTAGCCAGTATTATCTAATTGGCATTATGAATCTGGAGTCCAAACTGGTAGGGTCTGAATCTCAGCATTGCTGCTTAACTTCTCGGTGCCTCAGTTTCCTTATCTGTAAAATGGAGATAATTAGAGTACCTACTTCACAGGACTGTGAGGATTAGATGGGGTAATACTTGGAAAGTACTTAGGATGGTGTCTGCTATGTAATAAGCATTCAAATGTAAGCAGATGTTAATTATTAAATTGAGCCTTCTTAGTTGCTTTTGTACACTGCCTCAGCTGATGCCTGATAACATGTCTGTCATTCCTTTGGCCATCATTAATGATGACATTTGCATGTGTAATGGTAGGCACAGTGTCCCACTGGGAATGTTGATGGCCCACATTTTGATTTTCTGTACAATTCTTGTTTCATAATTAGTCCAGTTGTATGTATTTTACAAATGAATGGTGTGCCAGAATTTTAAGAAAAATGGCAAATTCAGTACCCTGTTATTTATTGTATTTTATTTAGGGACATGGTTTCATAGAAAGGATGATGCACTAGAAATTGGGAAACATGGATTTTAGTCCTACTTTTGCCATTGATTAGTTTTATGTCATTGGGCAACGTAGCCTGTGTGTCCTTATCTGTAAAATGGTGTGTTATGGTATCTGTTACCATCTTTGAGGCTAGTTTTTTTTGTTCTTATATATGTGTGAGGAGACATTTACTCAGTGTCATGATCCCTGTAAAATAGTTTAAGCTATTTCCTTGATATAACTGATTGCTTTATATTAAAATTAATTACTACTTTCTCTGTTTTCAGCTTCGGGCTCAGAATCAGGTCCTGAAAAAAGGTGTTGTGGATGAACAAGCAAATTCTGCTGCTTTAAAGGTATGCAACAGGATATTTATATCGTGAGGGTTCAGTGAGTGAGTGGTGGTACTCAAAGCTGGGAATTCAGCTGGTTTTCTGGGTTAAAGTCCCAGCTCTGACACTGATTCACTAGAGACAGGGGATGGTAATACAGGTTTTTGTCATTAACTTGCTTAGGTGTGAATATGATGTACTTTGATTTCTTTGGTTAAAAATTACCAAAAAAGTATGATTTGACTTTATCTAATTTCTCCTATACTTCAAAATCTTTATTTAGCTCAGCTCCTCTGGACTAATGGGGCTCCTTGTCTGTCGTCATCATTAGATAGCACTCTGAGGGAGCCTATGCCACATTCATATTTGTATCCTCAGCCCTCAGCAGATGGTAGGTCCCTAATAAATGGATTTGAATGTGTGGATCATTTCCATTAATCCTGCCTTTAGTTGAGCTACTTAATAGTAATCATCTGTGTTAATCAGGACACTCCGAGTGATACATTTTATCATCAGCACCTTTGTTAACTGAGGGGATATGATAGGAGATGAAGAATTTGTCTCTACCTCATTCCAGTAGGCATGTAATAAATATTGCTTAGTGATATTTTAAATGGATAAATTAATTCTAGGGTGTGGATTGGCCAAGTTTCAGTTAAATATACTGCCTACCTCACTCTTTCACCCTCTCTCTCTTTCTTGCTCCCTCTCCTCTCTTTAGACTGATGGGATTTAGGATTCCTTTTACTCTGGTCTTTTTCTGGAGTAGCCCCCAACCAGTAGTTTAACGTAGGTGGCTCCACTCAGATAACTAAGCCCCAGAAATATGTCTTTTTACGTAGCCAGTGTTGGACCCTACATTAAGAAAATATGTCTCTGAGACTGTCCTCTCCTCAGGCACTGTTACCACAGTCTCAGGGCTGAGATGATTCAGAACACCCCACCCATACTTCCGAAGCTCTCTAGACCCAAGCCAAAATTATTAAAAAAGCTTTCTAGTTAGGATTTGTTAGTCATGTTACTGTTTTCCCAAAATCTCTGAAGAAATGATCACCAGCTCTCCTAATAGTGTTTAAACCTATTGCTGGGGAAAGTATTTCCTAGCTTATCATAATAGCCTGCTCTGGTGTTTGACACCCTCCTGTTGCTGGTTGTGTTTGATTAACTCTGTGATGGTAGCGATGGTGGCAACAGTGGTGGCAGTGGTGACTGTGGCACTTTGTTCCATCTGTTGAGCACTCAGTGTGCCAGGTGTTTTGCTAAATACTTTGTATCCATTTTCTCATTTAGTGTTGACAACAACTCTGAGGCTAGATAACATTATCATCCCATTGCAGAAACTGGAGTTTAAAGAGAGGTTGGTTCAGATGTCTCCTGAAATTAATGATTGGTTAATGGAGTTGGAACATTAGTCAACTAGTGATAATTAATTGTAAGAATGTAAAGAAATTACTTTTCGTTTTACTATTTATTACAGTGATCATTATAATTGTAGTAAGGTGACAATTTGCCAGTTTGCTAGACAGGAATGTTAGGATGTCCTTTGTTACAGTAGGCTTTTGATTTTATTGGTTTTGCCTCTTTAATGAACTGTGGATATAGTAAATATTCATTGATTTGAATTTCTTTAATTTGAAATGATAATTTGGACATGGGCTGGGCCTAAGTTTACCTTTGAACTTCAAGTGAAAATTAAGGACTTACTAAACAAACTGTAGAAAAGAAAAATGTTTTTCTATTTAATGGGAGCATATTGTTCTATTGTTCTAGCACTGCTTTGAACATGAAAATAATATCAGTAGATTATAGACACCAGCCTATGGTTTTAAGGTTGCTGTTTCAATGTAGTTAAATCATCTATTCCTTAAAACATGACCTCTTCTTGGCTTTATAACTGTTTGTTTCAGTGGAAGTAATAAAAGTGGAAACACTCATTTCTTTTAATAAACAGTAGTATGTGGCCATCTGTGTTTATCAGTGAATACATTGTCTGAAAATATTTTTTTTATGATAATATTGATGTTTGTCTTTGATATATCAGAATAGTTAAAGTAGAATTAAATGTGTTGAAAGGACTTTATCTTTACTAATTTAAATTGGGGGGAATTTATAGAAAAAAAGGAATATAAATATATTTTTTCCCATTCTTGCTCACTGAAGGGAATCATTAGTAAGTGTGAAGTTCTCTTTAAAAATTTGAGTTTATAAACTTGTAGCCTCAGGCTTTGTGTCTGTTCACTGCCATAGATATAACAACATAGAGCTGTGGATATTTTATTTTAAGTTGATGATGATATGTTATTTCAGCAAATGCTCTTTTTATTTTCTTTTTAAATTTACTTGGTTTGGCCAGAAGATGATTTTTTTTTTTTTTTCACAGAACAGAGCTAAAAACATAAAAGCTACAGCGATAAACATAAAACTTGAATTCCCTAAAGCAAGAGGTTTTGATTATATTTTGGTGAAACAAAAATTTTTATTATTATTATTTCTAAACCTTAGGGCTGAACTGTGAGGAATGGTCTGTTTTCACTTTGATATAGGAACAACTGAAAATGAAGGATCAGTCTTTGAGAAAACTGCAACAGGAGATGGACAGCCTGACTTTTCGGAATCTGCAGCTCGCCAAGAGGGTAGAGCTGCTTCAAGATGAACTATCTCTAAGTGAACCCCGGGGCAAGAAAAACAAGGTAGGTTCAAATAAAGGCAGGTTAATGTGACCTTGTCATTAGGCACAGACATCTACAGGCCATCCTAGTTTTAACAGAAGACCCCACTTTCACATCCTCTAATGTTCCGTTGATACATCTGGATATTGAGTCAAAAAAGCAGACATTTACTATTAATATATACTAGGTGTTAGGGACATTTTCATATGAAAGTCAGTTTTAAAGAATTTATTAGGAACAAACGCATACATAGTTGATTAGTGGCTGAGAAAAGTCAATGGTTTAACTCATATTGGTCAAAATGGATGATATCTTACTTATAACAAATTGCCATTAACTCAAGGTAGGGCAAATAAAATGAGAGATATTGTGAAAGTGTAACTACTCATAAGAAAATAGCAGTTGCAGCATTCATACCTTAGGTTTGTAAGTTCACTGCAGATGTATTTTCTTAGGGTTTATTATGAGGCCAATTTGGTATTCTTGTTCTGAGATTTAAAGATAAATTTTTTCCCTTATGGTTTTATATGGTGAGGCAAGATTCTTACTGTTCTGAGATGTTTGATCCGGTACTTTGAACATTCTGTAATTAAGAAGTTACCTTTTTCCTAAGGGTAGGAGTTAGTGATTGAGTCTTTAAATCTTGTATATAGAACAACACTCCACAAATGAGTAGACTGAGGCAGTTAACAATAGAATGGATAGGAGGGAAGGAAAGAAAGCACACAGTGACTCTGAAGCAGTGCGGTGTGGAGGGAAGAGCACAGGCTTTGGAATTAAGCCCAGGCTAGAATTCTTTGCCTGCCGTTTATAAATCTATGACTTTAGGCAAAATTTTTAACCTTGCAACCTCAGCTTCTCCATCAGCAAAGTGGGGATGAGACTTTCATGTTTGTTGTAAGGATTAAATGGGATCATGTAAAAATGCCTAGGCCCATATTTGCCGTGTATTGGGAAGTTGCCAGAATTCTATGTTAATACCTTTTCCATATGTTGTTTCCCCTCTGTGAGAGGATTCTGTAGAGTGGTAGTGTTCAAAAAAGGGGGGTGGAGGGACAGAGAAGGTATAACTGGTATGTATTAGAAGCATTTGGGAAACTTTGTCAAAATACACATGTCCTGGAAATTCTCAAAGATGGATGGGGGAGGGAATAGCCATCTAGGCTTCAAACATGCTCCCCAGGTTATTAATGTCCCTGCCTGGGACTGTTTAGTAGAGGCTTGGTGTGACTTGTATATTAATTTTAATTAAAGCTTTCTAAATTTGGAAGCACTGAGGACCCCACATATGTCATTCAGCAGTGTTCCTTATGCGTGTCTTGTGTTCGTGCATATTTAATGTTTTTTTAATATAGCTGCTTCATTTTTAAAGGGCTTTTTAATCACTGATCACATTGGATCAGTATGTGACTTCATTTTAAGTGAGGAGTGAGGGTACGAAAAAGAAAGGGTGGTGACAGATGTCTAGACACAGTTTCATTGTTAGACTGTTCCTGGAATAGTCTCAGTTCTATGTATTACATGAAAACAAATGTTCATTATTAGATCTTTTAAATAGTACTATTCTTCTATGTAGAAAAAGTTATTTATTAGTAAAAAACCAAAAGCAAGGGATTTTAATTAATCTTTGAGCTTTTTTCTTATGTTTATTTATAATAGCTTTATTTTATGTGGTTTTCTTTTTAAATTTAGAAATTTATATGGGCTTTGATGTAAACTTATCTTTGTGGATGCTGTTACATAATTTATTACAATTTCTTAATGGGGTTTAATAATTCAGACTTATGGAATTGCTAAAACTCTCATTTCCCAAAGCAAAAGACCAAATTAAAATATTTATTGCATGTTTATATTGCTAGCTTTCTGGGTTTGCTCTGTCTTCCAACAGAGCTACTCCTGAATTCATCTGCAAAGAAAGTAGTGAGCCTTATCTGTTCTTTTCTCTCTCTTTTTTAAAAACTTTCCTGCCCATTGCAATATTTGCAGTTCCAACTTGTATCCCATAGGAAAAGTTAAATGATGGACTGTATACCTTTTGCAGGATTGTTTGAAAATGGTGAACACGTAGAAGAGACAAGCTACTAAGGTGCTAGAGAATCTGTGTACCTTAGGATGTTTCTCTAAAGGATGAAAGTTATGTGGACATAACTTATTCTTTCCATCAGAAAAGTGGAGAATCTTCTTCTCAGTTGAGTCAAGAGCAGAAGAGTGTCTTTGATGAAGATCTGCAAAAGAAGATAGAAGAAAATGAACGGTTGCACATACAAGTGAGGGAATCTTTCTGTTTTTCCATATCAATTTAAAAAATTGGTCATATGAACTAGAGTGTGGAAAATCCAATGCACATAAAGTGTTTTTTGTCTGTGTGGGCGTTTTAATGTCTCCTATGGTCTTTAAGTATATATGTCAGTGTCATTTATTCTTTTCTTAAATCTCACACATATCTTTGTGTGGATGTGTGCTTTGAAGTGCTGTATGCATTTGTTTGGAGTACAGCAGATTAGCTTTATAACTTAACGATGCAGAAATATACTGGGCACTATTCATTTTATACCAGAAGTGATTGGATGATCATTTAAATGAGGGCTTATCAATAAGTAGTCTTTGCTTTTTAATTCATCGATGTTCTATGAGTTTTCTTCTGTACCCCAGTTAGACTATAAGGTCTGTGAGGGTATGGACCACGTATGTTGTATGCTTAGCCCCAGGACAGGGCCTCACTCACCGCAGGCATTTTTGGAATGTTGAAAACGCCAGTGTCTGCTTCCAAACCATTGAGTATAGTCGTAATGTAGTGTATCCAACTATACCTCCTGTTTTTTTTTTTTTTGTCAAATGGTGAAAAATAAATGTGCTAATTCTCATTCTTTGAAAACTTTTGAAAAATGAGCTTTTGACCTCAGTGTATTTTGTGTCTAAGTATTTATATTTCTTAATTAGTATTGGACTCTCATTAAGGGAAAAAGCTTTACCTGTTTTAGGAATACCACCTATTTTAATGTCGATTATTTCATTTTGGAAGTTAGCCTAGTAGAAAAGTTATACCCTGATCAGTTGAATTTTATTTGGGCCATAAATTGTTTGAAATAGAAATCCATGAGATGAGAGGAAAGAGGTGCAGGCTTTGGAATGGCTTTCCTTTGTTAAATCCCATTTCCACTGTATTTTAACTATGAGACATTAGGCAAGTTAGGTAACCCTTTTAAGCTTCAGTTTCCATATCTGTAAAGAGGGATAACCATAGTATAGCTCTGATTACTGTGAGGATTGAAGGAGATAATGCCTGTGCAAGTTTAGTGCAGTCAGCATATGGAACCATATGAGAGTTGCTCAGTGGATAGTCACTGCTGGGTTTTTTCTCATTTATGTATATTAGGATATTGTGAGAAGAGAAAATGGTCTTTTCTTTGCAGTTTTTTGAAGCTGATGAACAGCACAAGCATGTGGAAGCAGAGCTGAGGAGTCGGCTGGCTGATCTGGAGACAGAAGCGGCCCAGCACCAAGCTGTGGTTGATGGCCTGACCCGGAAGTACATGGAAACCATTGAGAAACTGCAGAATGACAAGGCTAAACTAGAAGTAAGCCTCCCCGTTTGTGAGAGCACTTTAAGAAATAGTTAAGGCTTTTGTAAATCATCTCTGCACTTTATAGAACACAGAGTTAGTCATTCCAGTTGAGACCGTTGCCTGCAGCATCTCCTAAGTGTGCTCCCATCTGTAGTCTGAGCCATCTGCTTTTCTCTTTCTTCGAAAATGCAGGTAAAATCTCAGACTCTAGAAAAGGAGGCCAAGGAATGTCGACTTCGAACAGAAGAATGGTATGTGGAAACTTGAATTCCAAAGCAGCTCTTGAAGTAAGACTCAGAAGACTTGAGTTTTGGTTTTAGTAACTCCTCTGTCTTAACCGTCTCACATTTGAAATGAGGAGATGGGAGTAGGGAGTATGTAATTTCCAGGGTCCTTTTCAGTTCTGGGATCTCTGGGGCTTCAGACATTCTTGATAGAGTGGTTTGTTCATTAGTCCTCAGTCTGCAGGTGTTTTGGGCCATGGCAGATAGTGTTCTGGGGCTCCTGTACTGAGGACTGGGTACTTTCTGTTTCAAACTCCTCTAAACAGAGGGGCCCTCTGATAGTCCCAGGCAGGAAAGCTGACTAATAATCACTGTCCCAACCTTTTAATGGTACATTTTGGATAAAATAGAGGTTATGTGATCTAATTTGGATATATCTAAATCTTAAAATATTATTTAGTAATGCGTGGTAAAGACATACTCCAATAGGATCGATCAAGTGAATTTCTCACTTCAATTTAGTTGCATTGGTAGAATTACATGCATTGTTAGATGTGTACCTGTGCTCATAGTCGAATCAAAAACAGAAATTGTCAGCTTTTGAGCTCAAAGAAAAAAAATCTGATATAATATGTACTTAAAAAAAAAACTTCACAGTGATACTTGAATAAACATTTATGTGTTGTAATGAGAAAAAATTATGATTTTGAAGTGGCTCTGAGATTACTTTGAGCTTGAGGAAATAAGGTTGTATACTATCCTGGGACTGTGATAAATTCTTCCAAACTTACCCTTCGTTCTACAGAAGTCTCAGGGACTTTAGAATCCAGGCTTGGTGTTTTTCTTATTTTCATCTTTTAATAACTTTCCATTAGAAGTGTCCCAGATGTCAGGCACAATTCTCTGAAAGCCTAATACCAGCTGTTAAGGTAACAAGCAAATGAGGATTCACTCTATGATTGGTGATAATGTGGCTTTGTATTTTTTTTCTTTCAGTCAATTACAGTTAAAGAATCTTCATGAAGATTTGTCAGGTAGATTAGAGGAATCCTTATCAATCATCAGTGAAAAAGTACCTTTCAATGATACAAGTAGGTATTATGTACTGTTTTCCATTATTTGCAACTTTGAACATCTCTGTGGTAGCTGACTAATTAAAATAATTTCTAATGTATTTGGCAGTAAATATAATTGGCCCAATAGAGGATTGCTTTGTTTTTGTTCTTTTGTTCAGCTTTGGTCCTCATATTTCATAGGAAGATTTTAAATTGTCATATAACTACTACAAAGCCAGTCTTCCTAGAAGAAGCCCAAATCCACACATTTTTTAATTGCATGTATTTAGCATATCCCAAAGTAAAACCAACCCGCTCATAAAGGAGTTGAATATTTTTACAAGAAAAGTTGTTTTATTCAAAAAGGGTAAAAAAAAAAAAAAAAGGAAAGTTGTTATTCATGGGGGTGGGGTTGGTGATGGAAGGTGGATCTTGTTAAACTGATGTCTCAGCCCGGTATCTCCTACCTGTTGGTCAACCCCCAGTTATAGTTAGGAAGCTGACTCGGGTAAGCCCTACTTCTTACTCCTTCCTTTCTGGCAATGGTCTGGTAATTTACACTCCCAAGAGCAACAAAACATGTGTAATAGGTGCCAAATTTATAATTTTTGATAAGAATTAAGTCAAAACCTTGAAAGCAAATAAAATATTTTATTGTTTGGCTTTTGAAACCTACATTGAAATTAATACATGTTTCCTTTTTCTACAATAACGTGGTTGAAATTAATTTTTTACTTCCCCTAAATTTTTCTTAGGGAAGACCTAAAAAAAGAGGAAAAGAAAGAAATCAAAGAAAGATAGCAGTGTGATGTAGCATTAAAATCAGCCTATGTAGTAATTATATCAAAAACATAAATGCCCCTTTGAAAACAACACCTGTTTCTAGTTTCTACATTAGTGTAAATAGCACTGGCCTACTTTGATTCACTGGGTTTGAAACCTTGGCATTACATTTTCCCTTTAATATTTGTAGCAGTTATTCATTAGATTCTAATAATTTTCTTCTGAATCTGGGATTTATCCTTTTTCTAGTACTAGTCACTGTGTTTTAGGTCCTTATCATGTCACATGTGGGTTACTACTTTTAGTCTTAAAATATTTGAAGATCATTTGCTGAGTGCCTAGATGAGTGGGTAGTGTAAGGGATGCAAAAATTTATAAGACAAAAATCTCTACCTTCAAGAAGTTTATAGTCTAGTTGGGCAAAGATAAATATAGAATTGCCTAGAATATAAACTAGACTGTGTCATGAAGCCCCTCTTGGAGTTTCAGAGGAAGGAGACATTACTGCTGCTGGCATTGTTTGGGGAATTCTTGCCAGAAGTATGCTTTCAGCCTGGCCTGGATGCACGTGCAGGTTTTATTGGGCAGAAATGAAGGAAAACAGCCAGGGAATTGCACGAAGTGTGGTATATAGGACGAAAGGTGCCATCACAACCATAATTCAGTATGACAGGAGACTAGGGTGTGCTGGTGGGAAGTGGAGGGCAATGACGGGTAAGTTCTGAAAGGGAGGATGGGACTGGACCCTAGAGTTCTAGGGTAAGGGACTGGGAACCTTATTCACAAGGCAGTGGGGTTGTTGGAGAGGTTTTTGAGCCAGGGAACATCATGATGAGATTTTTATATTCACAAGGTTAATCTGGCAATAGAGTATAGATTACCCTAGAGTGGGAGGAGGAAGGCTCAGGCTATTATTTTGATTGTCCTGGTGTCCTGTTATGAAGGCTTAGCCCGGGTTGTCAGGGAGATGCAGAAGATCTTGTGGAGGGAGAAAGAACAGCATGGCCCTTTGAAGGAGGCATGGAAGAGGGAGGAGGCAGTGAGGGGGAAGCAGGAAATAAAAGAGGTAAGTGGGAGCAGGTTTATTGTTGTTGTTTAGTGTTCTGACAGGCAGATGGATGTGTATCTATCTAACTATTGGTGTGTGCACTTATAAATAAAAGACTAGACCTTGGCAGAGAAACTGGTGCTGACCTTCTCGGGCTGGATGAGCTCCCATGTTGGGGCGGTGGGTGCACGGTGCCATGAGGCCTGTGCAGGGTCCTTGGAGAGTTCTCCCTCTCAGAGATCAGGAGGGCAGGGGCTGTGGAAATGGGCTGAGATAGAAGCTAGAGGAGGGAGAGTTTCAACCTGGTGGCGCAGGTTAGCTCTGCGCATTGCTGTGGAGAGGTTAAAAGATGATGGTGGTTAATCAACTGGGTTTGGTGGCTGGATTTTGTGACTTCAAGAGAACTGTTATCGTTTGAGAGGAGCACTTCCTTTCAGGGTATAGGTGGACACCAGATTACTAGCACACGGATTAGAAGTGAATAGGTGCTGAGGAAACAGGCAGAACAATGCTGATTTTAAAGCAGTGGGAGTGAAGGAACTGGAAAAGGATGAGAGCCCGACAGGCTAGCAAAGTAAAAGAAAAGGCTGCATGTGCAGGATGGGGCGAGGGCAGAGAATTACGTATGATAAAAGGAAAGAAAAGAACTCATTGTGGAGATAATGTCAAATGAGCTGCAACAAATGCTTTTTTGGGAATGAGGTGATACAAAAGATAGGAGGAAGGAGTGATTGATGGGCCAGCCAGTCAGAAGCAGCTGTTGCTAAGGGCCCTGGAGGAGGGTATGTGAGCCATGGACCCTGAGATGACGGGTGGGGAGCATAAGAACCCTTTCACCTTGGCTCTGTTCATCTTGGCATAGTAGTGGGGAGGCCATCCCATCTATTGGGACAGGGAGGAGAGGAGGAATGGCATTAGGGACTTAGAACTTATTTGGAATAGGTGTCGTGGGAAGTGTGATAGGGACATGGCAGTGAAATTATGGATTGCTGAGTAGAGTTGGAGCCCCCTGAAGTTAGGCAGACTATGTTGTAGTGGACTTTGCTCTGGTTTTGTGCTAGCAAAAGCGTTGTTGAAATGATGGTCCAGGCCTGGAAGCAAAATAATCAAGGCTGAAAGAAAGGGCTGATAGGAGAAGAGAGAGGTATTGATGGATGGGAGATCAAGCTGGGAATACACAGCGATTTAGTAGCAAATGGAGACAGAGAACTGGGTGAGAATGGCACAGGAACTTTCAGAATCAGATTTTTGGCACTGGAGTCATTCTGACTGAGGACATGGGCAGAGGAGGGCAGGTGTGAGTGGCTGAAGTGGTGGGTAGAGATGAGCAGAGATGCAGATCATTAGAACAAGGAGGTTGAGGACGTGTGAGGTCAGGTGTGCGGAGGCTGTCAGAGGTTGATGACAGACTTGTGTATAAAGGAGCACTGTGAGAAAGATATTGGAACCATCCCAGGAGAGTTAGGATTGAGTCATTAGGATCAGCAGTGGCAGATAGTAATAGATTTTTGAATAGCGTCGTGTCGTGAAAACAGTGGTATTTTTGGATGATCAGTGTGGCAGCCGTGTGCAGGGTTATTTTAGGAGGGAGAAAGACTGAACACAGCAAGAACAGCATGAGCCTTTCTAAGTAATCTTGATAGTCTCCAAAGAAGTATTCCAAATGATTTTTAGAAATGGAAATGCAGGATTTGTTTTTTTTAATCCTGAAGTTAAAAAAAATTAGAAGTATTACTTTATCTTGAGAAACCACTGATTGTATATAAATTCCATTAGTCTCCTATACTGTGATTGTGGTGTTGATCATTTTAAATTCTTATGTAAAGCTGATTTTGCTGCAGAGCATTCCTTATTTTGCAGGTAAGATGTTTTTCTATAAATATAAAGTGAGACTTAATGTACATTATTTTTGTTTTGTAGAGTATAGTCAATATAACGCTCTGAACGTTCCACTCCACAATAGGAGACACCAGGTAAAGGATGAAGTACATGTTTTTATTTTCAGCCATGTGTATGCCAGGCTTTCCAGAAACAAGGATTAGTTGTTTGGGCCTCTGTTTAGTGCACTAAATCATTGCATTTAACTTTCGCTTTACTTTCTCATACATTTCTTCAAAGTGTGCGACTTACTTTTTATTGAGTTCATGAGTAATACAGATTTTTGCTATCTCTTATCCATAACATTGGAACTCAGTTATGGGGTGCATTAATTTTTTCAGCTGTACTTGTAGGTTGGTAGACCGCACACTTAAGTGGTCTAGGTTAAGTGGAGGAGGTGTATGTGCCCGAATCGGTGGCTTTCTAATTTACTTAGGTAGGAATATTGAAATTCAAGTGAGAGCAAATGAATTTAAGAAGTCACACTAGCATTCAAATGTTTTCTCTAGAAGCAGACTTAATAAAGTAGTGTTAGAATAATAATTTGATGATTAACTTTAACTGTGTACTTTTCATTTTAAAGCTGAAGATGAGGGATATTGCTGGGCAGGCCCTGGCTTTTGTCCAAGATCTTGTGACAGCTCTTCTGAACTTTCACACCTACACAGAACAGAGGATTCAGATTTTTCCTGTTGATTCTGCCATCGACACGATATCTCCATTGAATCAGAAGGTAAATTTAACTCGGAATAGAGTTTGTTTGCCCTGAACAAAGAGACAGACGTTATTTGTATTCAGACCACTTCTGTGCATCAGCCGAGTACTGTGGAGGATATGGAAAAAAACTAAAAGTAGTTTTTACCCTCAAGATAAAATATGGCAAAAATGGAGATTCTTAAGAAATTAAACACTAGAGAAGTTGTTAAAAGACTTCAGTGTGAGTGAGAGGTATGGCCAGTAAGTGGTATGAGATCACCGGGGAGGAAGATTGCTGTTGGTTGTAATGTCTGGGAAGATTCTTCAGGGATTTGAGTAGGCCCTGAAGAATGAGCAAGATTTGAATAAGAGGAGAGAATTGGGATTTTTTTTCTCCCCGGAAGAGGGAAAGTCATGAGTAAAATCATGGAGCAGGAAAGCATAGGGACTGTGGGGATGGGGATAGGGATGGGGAAGGAGTAATGAGCAAACCGTCTTGGCTGGAGTGTGAAGTCCTGGAAGGGGAGGAATGGGAAGGAAGTAAGGGTGAAAAGAGAAAAAATGGCTCCAGGTTCCGAAAGGTCCCTAAGGCAAACTAAGGCACAGACCTCCACTTTGTTTATAGAATTGAGGCCTTTGTAGCTTTTTGATCAGGGGATGATGTAATGAAAAGTGCCATTTTATTGTTGGAAAAGTTAATTTGCTGGCATTTTTTGGTCTTCCTGTTTGTACTCACTATGTAACTTTCATCACTGGGCATGTCTAAAAGCGAAACAACCTGTGTGGTGGAGTTGACCTTTTTTCCCTTCCTGCTGGGTTGTGGAATGGGAGTCAAACTGCCTATCTAGTTGAGGTTGAAGGGCATTTTCAGGGTTCGTGAGGTTTAAACAGGGTTTAAATGTCACTTCCTTCAGTCCATGTGCTATTTTGGGGGGCCTATTAAAGTTTGCTCCTTTCTTTCCTTTTTTCTCCCTAGCTAATTCTAAAAAAAAGATTTAAGGTAGCTTGAAAAATTTCATTTAACTGAAAAGGATAAAATAAGTGTTAGTGAGTGTATTAATTATGTACTGGTATGTAATAAGTTACTTCAAAACCTAGTAGTTTAAAACCACAAACATTTACTATCTCATATGGTTTCTGTGGGTCAAGAATTCAGGAGGTAATTTGCTGGGGATTTCTGGCTCATAGTCCCTGACAAAGTTTCAGCTACGATGTCGCTGAGGCTGAGGGATTTGCTTCCTGGGTGGCTCACTCACATGCCTGGTGAGTTAGTGCTGGGCGTTGGCTGGATGCCTGTTTCTCATTGCCTGCACTTCTCCATAATGTTAAGTATCCTCGTGACATGGCAGCTAACTCCCCCCATAGCAAGTGATCCAAAAGAGAGCAAGGTGGAAGCCACAATGCCTTTTATGACATAGCCTAGGTAGTCACATACCATCACTTCTGCCATATTGTATTGGTCATACAGACCAACCCTGAGACAATGTAAGAGGGTAGTACACAAAGCCAAGAAGGGGAGGTGGAATCCCTGGGGCCATCTTGGAAGCTGGCTCCCTCAGGGGGGACATTGAGGTAGCTGTGCTCTAGGTGCCTCATAATATGGCAGTCTGAAGTGAATCATGCCACTCTTCCTACTTAACCAGATTCTTTTTCCCTGCTTGTTTTTGTGCATCATGCAGTGTTTCCAGGGTTTGAATAAAGTGTTTATGTCCATGCGTCTCCCAAGTGTCTGCTAGTGAAGCAAAGACTTGGCCTCTGGAGTCAGACTTCTGGGGTTCCCAGTCCAGGCCTGCCACTTTCCAGTTATATCCCTTTGGGAAATTTACTTAATCTCTCTGTACTTCAGTTTCCTCATCTTTAAAGTGGGGGATAGAATACCTACCTCACAGATACGTATGGGTGAGATTTAAATAAGATAATACATGTAAGGCACTGAGAATATGCCTGGTGTGTGGTAAGCACCTAGTAAAGCTTAGCTCTTATCATTGTCACTGTTACGCCTTACACATAGGAAGCCCTCAGTAGGTGCTTGATTTTCATCAATTTTGGTCTTACTCTACAAATCTATTGAAGTATATAGAAATTAAACTTTGGGCCTTTGAAATGTTCTTTAATATCACTGTGGCAAAAAGCTTTCAGAAGACCTGGATAGGGAAAACGGTACTGTAATGTAGTTATGGTTTCTTTAACACTTTCTATAATATCAAAAAATATTTTCTAACTTGAAACTCGGACTGGGGGGGG